TACTTCTTCTATACTTAAAAAAAAAAGAAAAATCACTGAATCATATTTGAATATGTTTACCAAAAATGCAAATATGCCTATTCACCAACAGATTTGAGAATCAGGAAAATGCAATAACTTGTCCATAAATGTCCTGCATCATCACTGTCCTTAGACCCTAATGCATCAACAAGGAACGACTCAAAATAATAATAATAATAATAGAAACCTCAGGGACCCACAGTGAGAGAAGGATCCACTCCCATCACACATGTTGATTTTAAAGTGGCTCATATATGTCTTAGGATGAAACAAGGAAAGGAAGAACCAAAAACACATTACTGCAAATTAGTGCTGTCCAACGATTAAAATATTTAATCGCGATTAATCGCATGAATTTCATAGTTAACTCGCGATTAATCGCAAATTAGTCACACATTTGCGTGCTGTGTGCAATTGCTTTTTTTATTGAAAACAATGTGTAGTGTTATATTACACACTAACATTTGATGCAAAATCATCAATAAATGGATGACAAAAAATAATTGGTAACAAAAAGCCCCTTCAATGTGTGTGTGTGGGTGTGTGTGTGTATGTGTGGGTATAGACCATAGACTGTATAGAAACATCATGGTGTCATTATGATGATGATAAACAATCTGTAAATATTTTGTAAATTTGTTCATGTAAATACTCTATGCTGTTTCTCTGTTTACCTTCGGTATATCTATGACTGTATACTGTTTGCTTGTATTGCCTTTTTTATTAACCCCTCCCCCCATCTCCCACTTCATGTCCCCCCCCCTCCCCTCCTATGTGCCCTTCTGGGTTTCTTCTTTGGCCCCCTGTATCTCCAACTACATATTGTTTGTAATCTCTGTCTACAATGTATCTGAACTAGTCCTTTTCTTTGTTTCTATTTTTTTTCTGTATATGTGTTTGTCTGCAATAAAAAGTAAAAAAAAAAAAAAAAAAAAAAAAAAAAAAACTTTTATTTTTATTTTTTATTTTTTAATTGTGCGATAAAAAAAATGACGGCGTTAATATTGATTTGCGTTAACGCGTTAATAACGCGCTATTTTGGACAGCCCTACTGCAAATATAAAATAATGTCATGAACAAGAATCCAAAAAACAAAACTCAGATTGAGTAACACATTATGGGGGCGGGGCAGACAATAAATAGAACAAGTTGTACATCTCCAAAAGACCGGTAATACATAATAAAACGTGAACTAAAAATGTCAACCCTGACACTATATTGATTTACTTCCTCTTAACTTGTGATCATGGAATACGATTTATACTTTAGGTTCTTAGATGCCCGGAACAATATTTTTGTAGTTTTATATGTTAATCAAGTCCTTCGGTTCATGGTCCGTTAAATCAGATTAAGAGATCCTTTATTTGTCCCACAGTAGGGAAATTTCAGTGTTGCATCGCCAGTTACAGAACATTATGAATGAAGAGCACATAGCAAGAGATAAGTGAAGTCCACACTAAAATAAATACACAAAATGAAATTCATAGACTTCTTGTATTAGTTGCTATTACTTTAATTGTTCTATCGTGTTTTCATAGATTTAAAAGTAGTTCCAGTTGTTCCCATCACAGTAGCTAGAATAAGTTTGGCTGCTCCTTGGACTCTACTCTTTCTGATCCCTCCATTGCGACACTGCAAACGGTTTCTCTTTATGAGCCGCTTTAGTGCCTACTGTAGAAGTGAACGTACAAGGCTCATTAAAAGTGCCGCAGCGGCGCAGATAAATGGCCGTAATGATAATGGTGTGGAGAGGATGGACACGAGCGAAGGGAGAGCGCCTGCCTCAGAATCCACAACGACCGCCATAAATCAGCTCATTATGAACATGCTCGCTTTAAGTAGCAACATCAGTCACTCCGCCACGTGCCTCCATGTCGTCTCTCTGACAGCCGTCTCCCCACACAGATCTGTCATCCCACCGGCACGTCCGCGCTAATGATTCATGTCCCACTGCCCGTGCGCTCGCTCCCTGCCGCTGTGGGGCGGAAGTTTCACACACCTGGCAACCTCAGCGCTAAACTTCCAAGCACCACTCCAATAAGACAGTTGTGGAGGTCGGCAGGTGCGTCACCGGCTTGTGTTAGAGAGCTGGGAACACGTGTGTTTGTCTCGCACTCTCCATGGCCTCGTACCAAAGTATATCCGAGACATGTTAGTGCCATATGAACCAACCCGGAGTCTGAGGAGCACAGGGACTGGCCTCCTACTGGTGGTCAGAGTCAGAGCTAAACATGGTGGAGGCAACATTTCACTTTTACACTGACAATGTTCAAATCCAGGTTCTGTTTAGCTGTGCATGCGTACAACTGAGGGATTTTATCTTTACTCTTTTTAATGTATGGTGATTATTTATGAACTTGCCTTGCCTGGTTCTTGTACAGTGAGAGGAGATCAGTGTATCTGTGATGTCACTCCTGTGTGCATACCCCTTTCATAATTCCACGTTCTGCGTTGAAGATTCCATCATACAATGTACATTTGTGTACATATGTGACGGGGTTCTGAATGTGAAATAAGATGATGGCGCAGCCAGAGTACTTTTAAAGTTTTATTCCCAAAAAAATAATAATAAAGTAATTAAGAATAAAGTATTGAAGTATAAAGTATCGAAGTATCGAAGAGGAGTGCTGTACCAAAAACAAACCAGTGATTAATAAACATATTTACAGTATTTACAGAAACAAATTACATTGCAAGAAGGTCTCCTGGCTTACCTCCTCTGTCCCAGTTCAGACTCACACTGACACTGACAGTAGAGGCTGGCCTAGTCTTAAACCCCTCAGGCTCCTCCTACATGTCAATTAAGTCATAAACTTTTAGTTTCTACATAAACCATGATTACGTTCCGAATAACTAAAATATGGATAAATCCACAATCAACTCCTCTACTGTAGAGTTCTCCTCTGCACCTGTAGACTACAGAGGAAAAATAATAAAATACATTTCCCAAAAAAACCCGAAAAATACGATGACGAGACGCAGACGTACGTGCGAGGCGCTCAAAACAGGAAGCGCGGACTGCGCTCGGTTTGCCGGGTTGGAGTTTGGTGGGGAGACGGATACTGAGTGGAAACTTTATGGAGTGCAAAACTATGGATGGGAATGGTTAACCAGAGGCCTAGTGTGCACCCAAGACAACTGGGATGAATTAATGAACGAGGATGGGAACGGAACGGACTGACAAGGAACAGGAACGACAAACAGGCAAGTGAGTTAGGTATGTATGCGTGTGTGTGTGCGGGGGAAGTGCGCGCGGACTGGGGAGACTGCCCTGGGCATTGACGGAGGCTGCTCCGTCACATTCCATCATACAATGTACATTTGCAAGAATTTGGAACAAAATCACCCAACAAGTTCCCAATATTTAATGTTCTACATTACTGTTAGTGATCATATTGTATCATCGGCTATTTTGGGATCTTTTGCTTGGAGCGTTATTGCTCCGCCTTTGCCGCTCTTCCCCTTCATAAAAGCCAACAGTCCTCAAAATCTGTTTGCTCCAGGCCACATGTATGCTTCAGAAGTTTAGGCCTCAGTATCCGCTCATCTGATATGAGATAAGAAAGCCTCCTACACAGCAGGGTTCACATGGAAATACTGCAACTTATTCCTGGATCTGCAGAATACTAGGCATACACTGCTCTGAAATATACAAATCTTCAGTTTAATGCACTGTGTTAATGTGTCCTGAAGAATATAAGGTGTTCTAAAACAAAAATAAATGAATTCACACAGTCATTGGATAAATTGTTCTAATCTTCTAAGAACATACTCGGCAAGATCCTCTTTTCTTGGGTGCCTGAAGATGGAAATAGGATACTTACACTGGGCTTTTCCTGTCTTAAGTTGTTTGACTCATTTTTAAGAATAAGTGTCCTACAGGAGAAGACATTATTTGCTTCTTTGCGGTATTTTGTGCTATTAACTCTACAGACACATTGTTTTTTCAGTTGTTTGCTCATAACTCTGCGGACAAGAGACAGGAAAACTACAGATTGTCTTATTAATCAGCTCTGCAAACTTTAGAATCAGCAATTTAATTGATTACATTTTTGCCTTACCCTCATTCTTCTGTGCCTTTTCAATACAATGCATGTGTTTCTTTCAAATAGGGGCTCACCAGGTTACAGAGGACACCTGAAGTTTACATTCAATTAAACGATAAGACATATACTTAGAATGGAGGGCACATCACACTTTGGGGACTGTAAAACTCAAAAGACAAATTCTTCGATTTACTTTTGAGACGCTATTTAAAAAAACTTTGGATCCACTTTCTTTTGTAGAAGAGACGATTCTGATCTTTTTTTACCATTCGAGCATTCGTCGAGTTTCTCAGGAGGACACGGCAGCCTTCAGCAAACAGCCACCAGCTCCAATCTCACACCCGACTGTTTTCTTTTAATCTCCATTTTAAACTTCTGTCTGCCCGATAAAGCGCGTTAAACCACCTCCGTATCAACACAGACTCCCTGCTCCAGCCTTGTACGTTTGGTCATTGTGCCCTCTTGCCCCCCCCTACCTCCTACATCCCTTCCATCACCTCCCCTACGGACACCTTCCTGTAGGTGCCCCAGGCCACGACGAGCTTGCCCAGATTAGAGCCTCCTCACTGGGGAGAAAAGCTTCGACTGTTTGGTGGCAGCCCCAGTCCCTGGCAGATAAGTTTTCTAATTAACCTATGTGGCAGCATTTCACCGCACTACGCTGGGGGAGAATAAACTGGCTATCTGCTGCCACTGCTCACCTCAGCTATGTAACTGTGTTTGTATTTTCACTCTTTGGACAACCCCAGCTCTAACTCCTGTCACACTAGAGCCATGTCTTATTTTGTGGCAATGGAACAGACACGAGAGAGAGAGAGAAATGGCTTCCACTGCTACTTTCCAATCCTCACCAATATATTCACTTTGTTCAGTCGAATATATCTCTGCTTGTTCCAGCTCCACAGTCAATATGTGTCTTTGTGTTTTTTTCAGAAACTAAACACTCCAGCCGTACTGAAAGCGCCCAAGGAAAGGAAGCCCAATAAGAAAGAAGGAGGAACCCCGGGAAAGTCGTCCAGCCTCCCGGCCATTCTGTACAGGCAAGCAAACAAGACCAGGGACACTACAATTAGAGGACCCATTTTTTGTTAACACTTTCTTTCAGCACAAACACATGCAGAACAGTAGGAAAGAGAAGCATGCAACGCAATATAAGTGAACATGAGGTATAGCACAACTTTATACTTAAAAAATAAAATGAAACTAATCTCTAGTGTAATATTCTGTATGGATGGATGGATTGATCTGCATATACATTTGTACAATCTAGTGCAAGAATATTGAGGTACCGAGGGTTAAATATTCACAGTGATGAAAGTACTGTACATGTTAGCAGCATAAGGCCCTGGGCTAAAGTAAAGTGACAGTGGAAACATGTGGTCCAATATTGAACACTTCTTGAAAAGTGTTTAGTATGTTTCAAATCCTGAAACTTGACTATGACGTCATTGTCGTTGGATTCTTTGAACCAAAACTATTACTGGCTGTAAGGATTTTCCCCGAACCCATTATGTTCTTCACAACTGCATGCCTTCAATTGCTGGCACATTCTATTCAACTCTTACTCCATTTTTCATGTTAAGCAGGTATTTGTTAATAAGGGACATACAGAACACTAGCTCCAATCAGAAAGCTCATCAATGTTGTGGAAAGTGATTCTAGTGGAGTATTACACCTTTAAATAACCCTTGAAACATGCATTATACCATGGTTTAAGTGTAAATTGCTCCTCTGACTGTCATGCTCCGCCCTCTCTGAAAGTGACCGGTCTCTCTGCAGCTGTGGCATCTGTAAAAAGAACCAGGACCAACACCTGCTGGTGCTGTGTGACACGTGTAAGCTGTACTACCACCTGGGCTGCCTGGAGCCCCCCCTCACACGCATGCCCAAGAAGACCAAGAACAGCTACTGGTGAGGAGCCAACTACACTTTATAAAAACAAGGAGGTTTATGATTATTTTTTGATAATTGATAGTTGTTTTGATCTCCGGTCTGTGAAAATTGTATTTATTTTTCTACATTTGACCTAAACAAAGCTCCAGTGACGCCTCTGGAGAACATCTCATGAGCTGTTTTCCCACCGCCACCACTTCCGCCCTACGTCCCCAAAACCCCAGGCCGGAAGTGGTGGGTACTTCCGTATCGGCGAACACGTTAGCAGCACTTGTTTACAGTAACAGTAGAATATCACCTCAGGGTGAAGACATATGTTCACAAGCGCTGCGACCCCCTTGTCAGTCCTGGTTTAATTCTGGTTTAGCTCATGTTTTGATTGTTTTCGAGTGTCTTCATCTTCCTGTTTTTGACCGGGGTGTGTCCCCGTGACCACTTTGCTGCTCTCTGATTGGTTGCCACAAGTGTGTAGAGCGAGGATGTTCAGGGAATCTCATTTCCTGTTTTTGCTGCATGCATCCAGCCGCCGCACTAACCGCCTCTGCCTTGACGCAACAACACGTCTGCTCCAACGTACATGCAATTCCTCGCATGGGCGGACGTCACCATTGACTTTGCATTGCAACTCGCTGCTACACATGTTCCTGCGTTCTCTAAACACAGTTTTAGAGATGACTATTGCACAGTTGGTTGTGTATTAAAAATACTTTATAAACACAATTTTACTCATCATTCTGCAGTCTTTATAGACTGCAGAATGATCTTATCTTAGATTTATCTTAGTCATAAACCGGCATTCTTAAGTCTTGTAATGTCCAAAAATCATTAATCTACTAAATAGTTGACAATTAGTCGCAGCTTTAGTTGGAATTATTTGTAAGAGGTAATGCTTCAAGAACATGTTTTGCAATATTGAATTGCAGGAAGTGTATGTGGATAGGGAAGTTTGGGCGTCTCTGCTTAGACTGCTGCCTCAGCAACCTGGCAACGGATGAAGCATAAGAGAATGGATGGATGGATGAAATATTTATCTAAAGGTTTCCCAAACTCTGAAGCTCAGAATCGGGCTCTTGCCATTCTTTTTGTATTATTACTGCCAAGTTAGATCCAAATCCAATTGCCAAGGATTTAATTTGTTCAAAACACTAATCTTTACTGCAAACTGCAACACAAATGTCTTTTTAGAACATCAGAATGTTCAAAACAAATGTTGTCTCACATTCATGCCAGCACTGAGAAAGTTCTCTTTAATGCATTTAAAGGAGATTTAAAATGCAACATCACAAGCTTTTAAACATGTTACAACGTTGTTCCCTCATCAGTCACAGACCTGGAATTGTTCTTAGCGCCAGGCACTCTAATCAGGAGTTTCTGGCACAAACATGTAACTCCGCCCCATCTGTCTATAAGCTCCTGCCTCTGTCCTGCATTGGATGTCTTTTATACCACTAAAGACAAAAGAAAAACAAGACAAATTCTCCATCTAGTAGTGAAGATAGTTACAGGCAGAAAGCGTTTTTAATCCTTAATACTTATTCCATTATATAGTTTCCAACCAAGTAATCATTTCACATAAATTAAACGGGGAAATTACAAATTAAATGGTCTCATTGTTATTTTTTGTGTTAAAATATGATGCATTATATTCGTCTTTAACTTTGTACCATCTACGGTGGTCTGTAGAGATCCAGTAGAATTCGGCGCCTTGATTTTGCCTGACATTTGACCGCAGTGTAGCAGCACGGGGCTTATCGGATAAAGGCGACGAGATGGTGGAAATGTCAGCCTCTCCAGTCCGGCCTGTTCTGTTCTTTATCGAGGCGGGAGGAGATACTGCATCTGTTCCTCCACACGTCACACGCGCTCTTGAGCCGCGCTGAGTGTCACTTAGCATCACGGTCACTCCACTGTGTGAATTGAGCGGAGGGAAAAGCACAGCTGCTCTCACAACGCGACTTGTTTTTGTTTGGGCAACACAGTCGGCCTCCGTTACCACGCGTTCGTCTGGGTTCAACGTGAAATAAGCACAGAGATCGCTCACTGACAAACAAGTGCAGGCAGCGACATTTGATCCATAATTACTTGATTACAGAGCTGTTGCGTGAAAAATACTGTCATTGTTTTTGAGCAGAAGAAAAGGCCATCATGAAGCATTGAGTAATATTTCTCCACTTTAAACATGCGAACCACTCGAGGCCATACAATATAGCTAAACTTTATTCAAAATCTAAAAAATACATTTATTCTGGTTTAGCCCTAAATCACAACAGTAGTTATCTCAGGCCCTGTCCACACATAGCCGGGTATCTGCTAAACCACAGACATTTTTCTTCGTTTGCACCTGTCATGCACATGACAATGCATTATAAACGAATATATAAAAAAACTCTGGGCAAAGTGGAGATTTTTGAAAACTCAGTTTATGCATTTGCTTGTAGATAGAGATAACCAGACTTTTGCGTTTTCGCACGTCACAGTATGCCCCCAAAACAACAACAAACAGAACATGCCATCTCTGATCACCTGAAGCAGGATGGATCTCACTGCCTTAAAAACTGTTCGCTGCTGAGAGCTGTCCGCAGCAGCGAACATCCTCGCTCCACATCAGAGAGCAGCAAAGTGATCAGGGGACTCACGCTCGAAGACAACCAATACAGGAGCTAAACTAGAATTAAACCAGGGCTGAGGACGGGGGTCAGTGCTTGTAAACATGTCTTTACCCTGAGTTTCTTCTGTGACTGTAAAAGTGCCGCTACGGAAGTACCGGCGTCAGCATCAAAGCTCCGCCCACGTCTGTGTTTTACCCCCAACGCAGGACGTCAGAGGACGCACATGTTTGGAATGTTATGAATGTGATTGAAAACGCAGATGTTCGGTTATGTGTGGATGCAAAATATTGTATTGACGGAGGAGGGGGAATATTTGATTTTAAAAATATCCGGCTACGTGTGGACATGGGATCAGAGGACTGCACAAAACCAGATCAGAGGGTCACACAGTTCAAACACAAATGCAATAATAAGACAAATTGACATTGTAATCTGCCCCTTATGGACCAATGGCTCCAAGTGTGGATAAATGTCCATGGATGTTGTTGAAAAATGTATTAAATGTATCTGATGCATGGTCATAAATATAACTGAAGTACCTTTAACCATGTTATAGCTTTTTTTTTGCCAATTGCTTGTCTGAACATCTAGTACAGTCCCCAATCTAGTGTCTCATTAGTTAGAAGGAGGATAAGTGCAGGACAAGAATTGAACATTTTGGCCAAATATAACATTAGTTGAATATTTTTTGTCTTAATTTTATTTCTGTTTAGGCAATGTTCGGAGTGCGATCAGGCCAGCAGTGACGAGGCTGACATTGCAATGGCAACGCTCCCCGACGGCACCAAAAGGTCCAGGAGGCAAATCAAAGGACCAATCAAATTCATCCCTCAGGAGATGTCACCGGAGCCCAAGAAGAGCCAAGTACGAAGCTCCGTATGTATCCTCAACACGCATTCGCTTTTAAAAGGTTTTTTTGTTGCTTCAATGATTTCCTCACTGCAGTTGAGATTCTAGCCTTGTCCTCTCTAATTAGCGTCTCTCTGGAAGGCCAGGCTAATGGATTGATCTCTATTGATTACAAATAATTAGCTGGAGCTCACTTTCGACTCTGTTAAAGGTTATCAGAAAGTTGCCCAAGGTGGGAACGCTTTTCCCTCGAGCAAAAATAACATGTGAGCACTTCAATCAGGCGGTTCTCATTTACATCCCTGGCCCTAGCTCTGATTTCAGCACTTTACAATGACACAAGTGGAGTCATTTTGCTGTAAAGCTCTATTCTTTTTGGAGGTACCACAAGTTTGTTGAAGAATCTGCTTATACAGCCATGCTCCTTTGTACCAGCTCACACTGCAACACAAAGTGGCTTTTACATTTATTAATGAAATGTTTCAATTTCACTTTATTAAGAGTCCCTGGAAATGCAGCTCATGCTCCTCGTCATGTAATCTTGGGTATGTCTTTGACTATGCTTTTAATTACGTGAGAGTTTTGTGCCTTTATACAAGAGAATCACCTCCCCTTCTGCCAAAGAGAAATGGTAAAACCTCATAAACACTTTTCAAGTTTTCATCTTATTAAAAAACATCACCATGAATGAAAAAATTCCACATGGATAGGAAATCTTTTTACAATTGGAGATTTTAATAAAATTGATTCCTCTACTAATGTTTCTGCCTCTGTGGTGTAAGCATGCACCATTGGGCATTGATTTGAATGGGTGAGACATCTTGAATCATCCTAATAAAAAATAATAATAATGTAAAAACAAAACATATTTTGCAATGCAATGCAAAAGAAGCCATTACAAGGAGGCTGAAGCGGCACATGTGGCTCCAGAGCAGCAGGTTGCAAACCCCTGGACTCAACATTTAAATGAAGAAAAACATTGTAAAGATTAGATGTACAAAAATTTGAAGAACAAATGTGAAAGTGCATTAAACACAAGTCATGTAATGTTGTCCACATACAGGTTATTACCCAGTGGAGCTTTTATTCGAGTAAGAGTACTGTCGAAACAGAGAATATTTCTGAAACTATACACAAGAAGCCACATACAGTATGTGTTCAAAAGTTAGCCGTCCTCTCCACGCAGTCTTGCAGTATTACTCTGCCCTGGTGAAGTATGCCGCAGAGCACTGACAGTATAGTATCAAGCCTCTTCCCTCTCTTCACCGGAGGGGACTTATCTGCGGCCTCCACGCTCTGATCCCGCGATACGCCGCCGCCTCTCACTCGCTCAAGACGCTCTCTGAAGATGGATATCTGACAGCGGCGCGGAGGCCTCTCTGTCTCCCACTGACAGCGGCCGGGACTCTGGACGACTTGAGCGCGCAGAGTGGAGCCATGTGCTGACGAGGCACAGGGCACGTCTCTGTTACAAATCGCATAGCGGAAGAGGAGGAAAAGTAATGCCCGAGCCCTCTTGTCTGTCTGTCTCCCAGCCTCCGTGCCACTCCGGGTTAATGTGTTTTCGTAAAGGTTCGAAAACCAAGGGTCCCGATGCGCAACCCTTCCCTGCCCCGGCTCTCACGGATTAAGAAGCTTTCTGATTCCTCACAGCCACTTCACCGCCACGTTTATCTTCAAATGCAAGGCAGCAGCTAAAAGGGCCCCCGCTTTGCATATTTAATGCTTTTAGCAGGGCACCCGGGCGCTGGCACTCCTCTAAAGCCACCTTTTAATTTATCAAGAGCAACTAATCGACCTCCGCGCGGCCTCTGGGGCTGAGGTGAGTGTTTGTCACAGAGAAGTGGATTCACGTCGACGCAAAGGGCTGTACATGAGTGTTAAGAGTCCTGCTGCTCGCCTCTGCTCTGGCTCTCATTCACGCCCTGTTGTAGGTACGACTAGTGCTAAACTGTATTTAAATTGGCTGCTTACTAATGTCACAGCTATAAAATTAATGTCCCTTCGCACACTTGGCCAGGGTTTACTGAGCCTTTCCAAGAGTGAGGACAGGCCATTAAGACTATTGTTTGTTTAGGAGCAGGGCAGGCTCTTGGCTTCTCTGTCTTACTATATGCACTTTACTAAACGTCTTCTCTCCTTTAAAACCACCTTGTGCTATCTTCTTATATAGAAAGTTAAAAAACCCTTTCTCCATGCATAAAGCAATCACTTGTTGTGATTTGTATACAATTATGTTTCAATGGGCCTCATGTATGAAACTTGCTTACGGCCAAATCAGGGTGTAAATGATGCATAGGCAAAATATTTACACTTTTCCGCATTTATCAATCTGGACGTGAGCGTACGATACGCACAGAATTTACACCAAGTCAATAGGTGGTGTAAATGTGTACGCTCATTTCAACCTTCATTACAACACGCCAAAACACGCATGAAATGCAAGATTTGGACCAAAATAAACATATTCCCACTCTTACAAGATTATAGGCACACCTCTCACATTACAAATATGCAATTTTACGATGTTATGTTAGGGCTAGTTTGTGTTATTAAATAACGTGCAAGATGTCAAACTTAGTCTCCCATAAATGTGTGGATTGTTATATGCACCTACAATCAGTGCGTAATGGCATTTGGTTCATGCGGGTCCAAGCAAAGACGCGCGCCACCGTGGAGCGCTGCGCGGGTCTGATCAGGCTCTGAGACATGTAGGCGGTACGCTCTGTTACCTCCCGGTACAAGTGTGCCACATGGTCCTGGCTCGGTTCTCCACAACAGGCACAGGACCACAGTGTGCTACTGTTGGAGCAGCCCATGGATGAGAGACCATGGCCCAGCACCGCCTTCGGCCTATACAGCTCAGACAGGCTCTCATTCAACCCTTTTAAAATAATAATCACATACATAATTTGAAGATAATTGTATTTCTTTATATTTTCTTTTGGATGCTTTGGTCTGGCGGTCCTCCCCCTGGGCTGCTGAGCACTACTTCTATCGGCTGCGCTAAACGCGACCTTTTGTTACCATAAGGTCGCTCCCTTTTTTTTCACTTGTAGCATAAATTAATGAATTCTTACTATTGGCCCAATATATCAACTGTTTGATATAATACAGCGTATTTTTCTTCGAACATGAATAAACTCACCTCTTCAGGAGTGTTGCAGGCCCCACGCTGTTTACAGATGCTGTCATTTCTTTCCATATATTGTTTTTTGAGCCCCTTGATGCCACTTTTGAGAATTCCAAATAGTAAGACTTTATTCTTTTTTTCCCACTTCGTTCATAATGGTCTCAATCTCCTGCTCCGTGAAGTTATTTTTCCTTAGCCGTTTACTGACGAACCAGACCCTGCGCCGTATACGGAATTACGCATATATTTTGCCTCATTCACCTCTGGCAAAGCAATGTGGGTTTTCCTTAGTTTTGTGCATAAAGCCCCATAAACGCAATTGATCTTGCTCAAAACTGCTCATCCACTGCCCTGTTCTCCGCATAGCAGAGATAGGATGCGACGCGCTTTTGTGGGAACTGGTTCATTCATTCATTCATTTATTATTTATTTATTCACTTCGAAATTTCAGGAGAGATGAGTGCTGCAGTGGGTCTAGACACTAGGGAAAAACGCGTATATATATATATTTTTTTTAAACGTGAATAATCTCAGAAGCTTGTGCTTTTTGAGGCTTCCAAACAGTCTTCCTTGCCGACTTCCTGCTGACCTGTTGCAAAAACAGGGCGTGGAACAGGCAGTTTCTGAATATTTCTAGGCGTGACTTTCATAACTACGCTAGTTTCGAGCGCGGCGTTTATCAACAGCTGCAGGTGCGTACGCTCAGATCTGTGCGTATCTCACACGTTCATAAAAGCCACGTCGGATCTTGCGTAAATGGAATATAGACCCAAAATATACACCCTTTTCTACGCAACTTTCATACATGAGGCCCAATGTCTGAGAACCGAGAATGAACTGTTACGTTAATGTATCCTCGGCATATTAATATGCATCCCAGTAAATACCATGCCTGCAAAATTGCATGTCAGAAAGGAAAGAAATGTGAGAAATTGAATCAGAATAAGTGCAAAAAAAAAAACAATAGCACATCTTGACGATTTTAACCCAATTAAATCTTGATCTGGACAGGCCCTTTTACAGCAGTGGATAAAAATGTATCTATTTGTAAATTTGTGTACAAATAGATGCAATTTTATCCACTGCATTTGAGAACAAATTTCTGAGACGCGTGTCCTTCACGTTTCTCCACTTTTTGATGTCTGCCCCGCAAAAACAGCAGGTTCACACTGAAGATGATGCCATGAACTCAAAAATCTTGCATAAAGTCCACCATGGACTTTGTACAAGACTTTACTCCTGCGCAAGACCGGAAAGCTGAGGGCTGGCCACAATGTGTCCCTCCTGCTAATGTTTTGGCTTCCGTTGTGCAGGCATGCACCAAGGGTCGACAATTTGAGTCTTAGATCACCGGGGCTTGGACCAGACACATCGCCCAAAATTCTGGTCATTGTCAGGAGCCCTGATATAACCTGTACCTTTAAACAGAAACGTATAGCATGCATTGTTTTCAGTCTTTTCTCAAATGTAAATGAACTTGGCCATGTTACAATCTTCACTCTTTATAAGTAAGCACCACATTTATTATTGCAATATGGATGACAATTTTTTCCTCCTAAAACAGTGAAGTGACTTATGGAACTCCCATATACAGTACCTTCAGGATTCTAAAACTGAATCTCTTGAATGAAACGTGTACATCTTGGCTCAGTTCGTTTTTATAAGTATACTTGATGACCTCAGAGATGCAGAGATTCCTACAGAAGATTGAGCGTAGATTGAGCTGTGGTCAGCACTTAAACTCTTGTCCTGAATAGGACATGATTAAGTATCCACATCTACGGCTAATATCCCACTCACAGACATATGCCATAACTCATCTGAAAATGATAACAATTAACTTACTATATCTAGTTAGCAGCCATTCTTCTGCTATGTACTTTCTCCAATCCTGCGTGACGCTGGTTAAAGACTCACTGATGTACTTAATTAAAAGATTGATTTTTAGCAGCCCACGGCTTCCATTTCCTCACCTGAACAGAGATTAGATCCATGCTGCTCTTTCATTACCTCATATCACCATTTATAGGGACTTCTTTAAGGCTGAATTCAGAGAAAAAAACACTCCTGCTTTGTCTGCATTCACTGGAGAAATAGTGAAAATTGGCAGCACTCACGCAGTTAGCATTCTTAATGATAAGTGCTCCATCTGGCAAGTGTTGGCGAGCCAAAGGCGACAGATGGAATTGTTTTCCCAATCTGTTTAAATATGTTGTCGATTTTTCTTCCCCTGTTAAACCCCTTGCACGTGCTAGCTAGCAACAAGACGCAGCCGTTTGCGTGCTGTCATTGTAAGAGACGGCCGGCGCACAGGGCCCCTGGGGAGGCAGAAGGGAACTACTTTGGGAACGCTCGGATCGGCAGGTTGTGACACAGGATCAACAGTGGGAAACTCCATCAGCCAATACAAACTTTAGCATGGCTTTAAAATGCCTTGTCAGTCTGTGCTTTTTCCACACACACAGATGGAAGTGTGAGAAATTTAGAAATATGTGGGTTTTTCAGCAACCAGCCTTTGGATTCCCAAACCACTGCGTCTGTTTATGAAAGATAAAGGGCATTCAAAATCACAGTTTGAATGGGCGTAATTGCATTTCACTGTATTGAGGTTATGATTTAATAGTCAAGAACCTTATCATTTCAAACTGAAACTGACTACAATAATTTTGTGCAAAGATGAAAAGTCAGCAGGAGTTTGACGAAAAACATGACTGTTTGCAGAACACAGCGATCTGTCCATGTTCTAACAGATCACAAGATTCAAGTTTAATTCAGGTTTAGGAAGAGGAGGGTCCAATTTCCAGCCCCTGCCGTAAGAGGGGAGGGCTCAATATAGTAACATTTCTTGTTACATTTTTCTTTTTTATTGTAGTGCTTTATATTTTTCAATGGCATTGGGCAATTTTTTTTTTTATACATGTCTATTCAACTTCTTGTCTTTTCCACAGACTGCTTGTCTGAACAAAGCCCTGTTATGAATGTACAAATCATTTAACAAGAAATCCTTGCCGTAAAAAAAAAGGCTACATTTTGCGGTCACGTGGGTTTTCACAAACGAACTAGGCCAAGTGGCCCGGATCGTTGCCACAGGGGTGTTAAAACGGCCCGCGGTCACAATAACATGTTTTTGCAAACAAGCCAGAGCATCTGTGCTGTAGTACAACACTCGGCCCAGCTGGTGGCGCTAATACTAACTTCAGCAACTATCTTGTTGTCCGAGTTAAGTTTCCGTTTCTCTTCCTGTTTACATATTGCTACTGTAGCTAACAGATCGAGTACGGATTCCGTTGTTTAGGGGAAGACACATCTCACACTTGTCCACATTGCTCTGATGCAAAGTGTTCAGTGAGTAACGTGTGTGTGTGCGTGTGCGCGTGCGTGCGTGCCACGGACACGGGAGCGCGCCTGTGTGGCGTAAGCAGAGCGACCGAAGCCAGGCAGGATACAAGTGTGTGTCTGTGTGTTCTGGCGATTAACTAAAGACTGATTCTTGAATGTCTGAAGTGTTATTGCAAAAGCACCACACTGAGAGCGAGGGTCTGGAGGACAGAAGGGAGTTATTTCCGTAGGAGAAGCTTCCCTTTGGCTCTGCAGCAACACACCCCCCTGCGCCCCTTGACCATGGTCCGGGGGCTTATATGAAAGATTGTAACACTAGCGGAGAATACAAAAGTGCAGAGACCTGTGTGAAAATGCTCGTCACAACAAAAGACGTCCCCCACTCCCCACCACACTAACCCCCCTCATCTGGGCTTTACAAAGCGTGCTCTAAAGGTGCCCAAGCCCACCTCCAGCAACCGTGCGCAAGCCCACTTGCCGCGGTCACATAGCACCTAAAGCCCGGATCAAATCGCGAAGTGGGCTCAGGCCCACTTTAACTGGGCTTTAGGGTGCGCATGTGACCACAGCCTTGGAATCAAATATCCCCTCCCACCCCGAACTCTTTATGAGAGAAATTTTCACATAGTCCATCCCCAAGCCTCACTCGCAGGTGCTCCTTGAATTCTCCCATGTATCTTGCACTTTTGATTCATTTAAACTGTTTAAGAGTTCCTTTATTCGTCCCACAGTTGGGAAATGTTGATGTTGCAGCGCACATACAGGACAGTAGTAAGATCACACAGGGAGCACACAAAAATATACAACAAAATAACTTGTAGCTATGTTTCTTAACTAGCTGTAAATCAATGCTTTGTTGATTGCTTTCACAGTGACAATTATTCCCTGTACTTTCAGCTTATTTTGTTAATGTATGTGATTTTACTGCAAGTGGAAAATAAAGTGAATCTAAATCTGAACTAGTTTCCATTCCAAAGCTATACCCTTCTGATAGAAGCATATTCTCACATTAGCTCTCTGAATGACAGATCCTGAACCAAGTTCAACGTGGAATATTTGACCAGTCGCTTGTGTGTCACAGAGAACACGTGGACAGAAGAGGAAGCGACTGAACCTGTCTGAAGAGCCAGAGGAGAAAGTGGAGGTTTGTCTCATTCATGTGTTTCACTCAGCTGTGGCTCTATTTACTTTACTCCTCTTATTTGGCGTGGCATTACTCGCACTCCAAAGACCTTATTAAAATTCAGACTGACTTAATGAATTTCTCTCCAACTCGGAGAGGATTCTTTATTAAAACATATTTCCCTCTGAGTTGCGTTGGCGTCTGAAATGTGCCGTTTTAGTTTAAATGAGTTTCTTGATGTCTTGCATGAGAAGGCTGTGATATGATTACCATTATCATCGTTTAGCCTGTCTGTTTGCTCCACTGAAGCCAAGTATTGTTTTAGTTATGGCTGTCTGTGCCCGGCATTCACAAGCTATTAGATCTTAACAAAAACATTTCCTAAATGTAATTTTGCTCGTAGGCAAAAGATGATTGTATTTTGATTAGTCTTCTCAAGCTGAAATGATCTAATAGGGGATGAAAAAGCAGCAAAAACATTTACTTTTGTGGGATAAATGGATTTTGAATTCCGTCTGAAAGCGCTTTGAAATGATTATATGATCAATGACCTAGTTCTAAGAATTATATAGGAAGGTTCTTTCGGTTTGGAGATTTAACACTCGCCTCACTCTTACTATTATTTCTCAAAAAGATAATATACAGCAAATGTATTTATGATGTTCTTACCATTTTTATCATGTAATTATCAAATCAGAATTATCTCCCATAGTTGTTTACAGTGTGTTTAAACCTCAAAACCTGCACCAATCATGAGTATGAATACAAATATGTTGCTTCATCTTTTGGGGAATCTTTTTCTTCTCTGCTAAACATTGATTACATCTGTTGCTCTCGACTGAAAGCAGTTGGAATGGTGCAGAAGGAAAACGTTGCTATAGCTGCAGCTACAATGTGACATGAAACCATCCGAAATACAACAGAATACGCTCCAGTTGAACAACGAATGTAGAGTCTGAGTGAGGTTGAAAAGTAGTCATTGACTGCTGATCTATTCAATCAAAAAAGGCTGTATGTCGACGCAATTTTATTGTGCTTGCACAAGGTCTTCTGCTTTCTTCAGTATTGAAATCAATCTTGAATCACAAATCTTCAATGAAAACACTTAATTTGAAATAGCTAGATAAAACTGTTTTAAATGTGCGATAATGGTTAAGAAAGGGCACTTGCTAAATTCTAAGTGGCCTACCTGAATAATGTGCAAATGTTGGAGTATTATGTGCACTGCTGGTGTGGTCCTGGTGTCAATGCAGACATAATAATCAGCTGATAGCCCACAGCCTGCAAGCTAATCGATGGCCTCTCAATCAAAATCTCTATAGCTGTCCTTGGGGGCTGAATGGGGATAACCGTGTCATAAACTTGGCAAAGACCATGAGCTACGTAACTCTGCAGAGCTAGTGCCTCATTTGCATGTAGCAAAGCAGATCTTCAGGAGCTTGGGCCATATTGTCTCGTACACCGAATGCACTGAGGGACTGTGGTTTTATCAGTCATTCCAAATGTCCCTAGTTAGTATGTAACTGTGATAGAATGCACTTAGTACATCTGCGGGCACCTTCTGCTGACAGTTTTTCTTTGTGAAATCACTGACCACTACTTCCCTTGTCTTTTTCTTGGTGGTTAATTTGCAATTTTGTTTAAATTATTTATTTCAAAACCTGAACACTTCATCACAAACATAACAGACATTGAAATACATCATTTCATCAAACAGGCAGTAAAACCAATGCATTTTGTTTTTCTTTTTTTTTCTATGGCAACATCATTTACCATCATTCATTAGTTTTTCAGATTCTAAAATAAATGCCGACTCATTGCCGATTTGAGCAGGAAGGAAAGGATCATTTTGTAGCAACAACTTTATTCATGGTTTTCAGTGGTGTGCTTCATTCAAAGACCTTTTTGTCATTCGAAAGATAAAATATTTCAAAACAAACCTCGACATTTTCCATTCGGTCCAAGTTTTCCATCTATGTGTTAAATCTACAGTAAGACCTTCAGAGGACACACAAACCCCGAGCCTCTGCAGCATTACTTGTACAATCTCCCTCTCATCTCTCCCCGTTCCCTTTTTAACCATCCCGGCCGCCACACACACACACACACACAGCCTGATAATAATCGCCCGCGTCTCCATAGGAACCGGCACCACGGGAGCGGCGCCAACGTCAGTCAGCCCTGCAGAAGAAACCCAAAGCGGACGACACCCGGACCGAGTGCACCACGTGTAAAGGGCCGGGCGACAACGAGAATTTAGTGAGGTGAGTGGGATTATTAAACATGGGGTGTATAAATGTGTGTGTCTGTGTGTGTGTGTTTGTGTGTCTCTTGAGGTGGCCATATCCTCCCGATGATTAAAGTTCAGTCTTCATTAGGCCGCGGTGGGCGAGCGGAGCAGGGTGGCGCCTCCGTAGGGCCCCTATATTGACCTGCCACATACATTTGCACACTTCATTAGGAGGTAATGAATAGCACAATTTATGCTGCTGCTTTCATGGGATTTCAGGTGTCGCCGTCTAATAAAAAGCATTTCTTTGTGACTTTCAAATTCAGCTAGGGAATAAATTTAAAAATTGAGCGCAGATTTATAAACAATTTTCGTATATTCTGTCTTGATATTTTAGTGGTTCAAAAAGTGTAATTAGCACCAACTGTGAATCACATCATAAGTCATTCTTTTACCAGTGCATTTAGTCATTCTAAAGGAGACTTGAAGGAAAAATCTTCTTGTTTTTACAACCGTTGTTCTCTTGACATTGTTTCTAGCCCCATGGTTAAACAAGGACACAATGGAACATATTGGAAAAAATACATCCCCCCAACCCCCTCTGTCCAAAATCTGTCCTGAAATCCAATTAATTAATCCACCTAGACGTCATGGACAGACCTCTTCCGCCTCTAAAGAAAAATATTGCCTTGAAATTAGTAATAGAATTGTCTCAGGTGTTTATATTTGTGTGCTTTAGAACTGTGTAAGATGTAGCTTTTATAAACATGTGATTTCCCACGTTTGCCACAAGATCAGATTGTTGTTCATTCTCGTCATCGCCAACTCTTTTTCATGCATGTTTATCCATTTACTTTCCACTTGGGGAATTATTCAATACTTTAAAACATCAACAAAGTGAATATTCTCTGTTTATACAAATAAGGCTTGGCATGTTTTATGATTTATTATTTTATGTTATCATCCTTTTTTACCACTAGAAGTTGTATTTATAGTGTAATGTATACTCTTGCATGCTCGCCCCATCGCTGACATGTCATCATTTCCATATATATATTTTTTTTAAGTTTTAATTTTTTTATATTTGATAACAAAGAGGTGGGCAATATATTGAGAGATTAAGAGATCCTTTATTTGTTCCACAGTTCATTTAAGGAACAGTAGGAATGTAGGATGTAACTACTGTACATGAGAGCAGGATGTGACAGTTCATACACGTTAGCGGAATATTGAAAAATGAAATTAAATGTTTTAGCTTTACAGTGTATAGCCCGGCCCAAACTATGTTGAACCAGAGCGTAATAGAACTGTACACAGAAGATGTGTTCTTTAAGGGTCCACTTTATTTTGCACTTAGAATAATGTTTTTTACCTGGTCTTGATTTGTCCCCTCATGGTCAGTCTTCATGATTCTTCATCAATTTAAAGCTTGGTATTAACAGTTCCCATATTGCATTTATGTAACCTGCTGAATGTTGGTACACAAAAACAAAGTGGCGTTCTAAGTCTATGACCCACAAGGACAGGGCAGATGAATTGCTTGCCTGTTGCACTACTATTTGGACCATAAAACTATACAGTACATCTATTGTATTTATGTGACAAAAAGATTGTTGCTTAATTCACCTGCAAAAGTTGGACCTTTGAAGTAAACCAAATATACTTTTTTGACTGGTATTGTATTTTACGAATATTTTGGGAGTCGATTCAAAGATTAGTCTTTCAATGAATCACTTCTTTAGCTCTGAAAAGTCTTATTATTATGAGTTCTAACAAATGGGACCAACTGGTCTCTAAGTAGAAGTCACATTTTCACACATTTCTGGTGCCTTTTAGTATTCATTTTAGTTGAGCAAGAAAACCTCTGCATGGAATGTTTATTTTCTGGGGGTTCAAAAAAAATGAAAAGATGATTTCATAATTGGATTGATTGGCAACACTTTAAATAATCAATTATTTGCATTGATTACTAGTCGTACAAACTATGAATTATAATAGTGATAAACTATGACTATGTTGTAAACGTATTTCTAAAAGTATCAACAAGTTTAACGTTGTAACTTGCGCCTATCTGGTCACACCCAGATTTTTCTTCAATCAAAACAGAGCCACGTATAAAACAGAGAGGCTTTAAATGGAGATTAACTGGTTTTAAGACATTGTGCATTCCATTTCATTTTCATTTGTTTTCTTTTCTGCTGCTCATAGCTTCACCCCGATGCTCGTTCCATCGTTTGTTTTCCGCCTCCATCGCACCATTCGCTTCTCTCGCCCGTCACGACCGCCTCCCGTCATCCTCCATGTGTTGGAAGAGTCCAGGCGGGCCCATGTTTGTTTTGTCTGTGGGCCGTGGGAGGTCGCTGCCCTGACTCTTTGTGTCTTTGCGTTGCACAGGTTGTGAGAGCCCGGGCAGCCACCTCTCCACCAATAGAACAGTGAGCGGACAGACGGCGGGCCGCTGCTAAGGCACCGAGGCCGCTCCAAACAAGCCAGGACACCAGACTGGACCCGCCTCACTCTTCCTCCCCATTCGCTAATGTCATGCCCTTCTGTTCAAAGGTTCAACGCAGGTGATGTGTCTTGAGTAAGATTGTCTAACTTGAGTTCATTACAAATCTACAACCCCAAATTATAATTTTGGACAAACGCGGTGCAAACTCAACTTTATAAATACTGTAATCTCTCCTCATTTTGACACCTGCCTTGAGCTTTGTCCAGATGTTTGCATGGTAGCTCGGGGGCAGACTCGTACAAGAATACAGTGATATTGACTATGTCCAGTTCAGGCTGCTGTGCTTGTTAACCTCACACCCTGCAGGCTGCTAATTGTTTGTTACAATTCAAATCAAAAAGTGTTTGTCTCTGTCTAAGAGGGATAACGTACGCACCACATAAGAAATCCATATATCTGATTGGGAACATAAAGCACCTGTGACCTGCACAATCACTCAGCCTCGTGTCTTTTACTTACTCAAGTAAACAGGGTCAGACTTGAGTGTTGTACAAAGTAGAAAGCAACTGCATGTAGAGGATTGTTTTTCATCTGTAGTATTAGCCTAGAATAGAACCTAGTTTAAGATTATTAGATCGTTAGTTTTGGCAACACATACATTAATGAGGAGAGGACTTAAATGCTTCTGATGGAATGACAGTAAGATCTGACGAGGCACAGCTCAGAGCTGGTCCCTGGTGGTCCCTGTGTCAGAGCAGAGACTGCTGAGCTGTCAGAGCCATGACAAGTGTCAGAGGACCATTCTAAGCTGCACATGGGGCCTGGAGCCAGAGTCTCACCATGAAGCCACTGACCCCTGATCTCACATAAAACACATCCTTTAATGAAACGCTTTGGTATTTGAAGTCCTCCGCTCTCATCTTTTAGCTGTTTCTTAAATTTTGAAAAGGAATAGAGGCAGTTTACTCAAAATACTCATGATATGTCAAAGTGTGTGGATCTGTACATTTGTAATATTCTGGACCATGTCTCCTGTACGATGCATGAGTGATGTTCTATCTGTACTGTAGTTACTCACGTCTTGTGCTCAGTAGAACGTGAAAGCAGGTAGCTCTGCTCTTCTCTTGTCTTCTCATATTTATTAAGAGGCCGAATGTCCTTTCTTTTGACGTCTGATTTTACACAGAGTTGAACTCTGCTGGTACTGTAGGGATATTTAAATATGATTTCTTTGCAAATGTTTGTTTGTTTACTCATGTTTGAGGAGAATACTTCTGTGACACATACTGCAGCCTCTCAATGTTGAAGGTAGAAAAATCACATGGCAGCGACACATTTAGCAGCCGCAGATGTTCCGACCATGAGAGATCCTTTTTTACTGTGTTTTTTAGCGGCAGATGGAAGTGTTTGTCCAGTACAGAAATTCACAACATCAACTTTCTCCAATCTTGACAGAGCTCAGAAAAGCCTGTCTTCACACCATCTGCGTAATAGGACTCACATTTCTAATCTGAAATCACCTCATCCCTTTTGCATTAAAGCGGTCAGACATGATCAGCTCTGTCATGTACTCCAGTTCGAAAGCCGCCGCCTTGTGATTTGCCCGCCCAATCTTTCAATTCAGAACCCCCACCTGGTATCGCCCCCACCGCCCTCCATCCTCTTTGCACTGTACAATGTCCGATTGTGGAACGCAATTGTGCCCCGCGTCCTGTGGCCTGTATCTCTGGGCAAAATGAAGAAGCGCCTTAATAAACTCTTGACTTTCTCACCTTATTGCGGCGGTGATAAATGAGTGTCAGCGGGCTAATTAATTGTTGCAAAGGTGCGGCGCCGGCGGTCCGTTTGCGCGTGTAATGCCCTCTGTCATGTGTGATTTATCGGCGGGGAAGTGGCCCTGTTGTCGGGAGGGGGAGAAAGAAGAGGGGAGGGGAGAGAGAAGGGAAAGAGGGGAGACTGCAGCAGACTATAGATATTTCCAGTCTTGAATGAAAGCGCTCTCCGGGCCACATGCTGCGCTCGGTGCCCGCGCGCTGATGTATTCATGTTTAGGCGGATTTAAACAAGTGGGCCGCATCTTATCCCCAAGTGTGCCGCATAAAGAACTGGGGAAAGATGTTGGAGAAACGTCGCTCTGGTGTTGAAGGGAAAATGTCAAATCTTTTTGTTCTTTTGTATTTGTTTCATTTGGCACAAAGAGTTGAATGGGTTTTTGTAACGTTTTTACTGCAACAAGCCTTTGGTAAGCACATTTTACTAGCTTTTTGGGGTGGTTTTTAGGTTGGGGCATTAGCATTATTCATTGTCATTTTTGCATTATTTATTTATTTAGTTGATGAATAAAAACACTCACCATAAACATCAATACGGGAGTTCTCATGTTGTCTCTGGAGCTGGATAATTATTATTTTAATCTTTATATTTTATCAAATTGCAAATGTTTTCTACACCAACATAAACACTAAGTCTTAACCCTAGGGGATTGATTCATCTTTTATGAAAATGTATTTATTAAATGCCTTACCATTTAAATATGTTTGAAAACTCATGCTTACGGCTCATGTTTTACTTTATCGTACGTT